CATTGTCATAAGTTTATATCATTGTTTTGTGATTGAAGGAAAGTGAGAGGGGTCTCATATCTAGGAGTGTCTTAGATAGAAATAACATGAGTAGTGATTATGTGAGAAGATTGTAAACTGGAGGTTGTTTACTTTGACTTTAAACTAATATTATTATAATGAATTTCCTTCCTGGCTTGGTAGCCCTCAGATGTAGGCGATGTTGCACATAATTGAGTTAACTATTAGCATACATATAGTATTATTTCTCTTTTATGTATATTATTGTCAGCTTGTAGATGATTAACATATGTAAAGTTTGACTTATTACTAGCCACACATCTCTTGTATAGATAATGTATATATTTCTTCCTTTTGGATAATTGTTTCCCGTAAAAATTGGAAAACAATCGCTGATCTTCAAAATCTAACTTTGGTGAGTCACAGGATGAATCAGATTGATCCTAGGACATGTGCTAAAATCTTTATGTGAATTTAATTTATCTAAACTATACACTTCGACAATATTTCGAGGAGAAGGCTGGATAAAAGGTAGTGTTCGACTCAAGTAAAACAAAAGATGTAAGTTTGCAGAGAATGAAGTAAAGAACTTTGAAAAGTATTTAATAAAGTAAAGCAAACTGCTCAGAAGATGTAGATTGCAGGAAAAGTAAAGAAAGCTCTTTAAAATTAAGTAAGTAAATTGAATTTCATTGAAAGTAAAGATGGTGTGTTTTACATAACGTACATTCTCCTTGAACCCGTTTCTATACACTCGGATACTTTGAGTAATTTTGGGAGTGACTTGTATAAATAGTAAATTCCAACACCCTGAATTCTAATTTTAGAACTCTTATTTATAATAGTAAAAAATAACTACCAATAACCTCCTAAAATTATCAGCCTCCGACAAGTGTCATATTGCATGTAGTCACTTTCTAGATAGACGCCACTTGTCCTACTTAGTCATGAGAAATCATAACTACTCCCTCCTTTATTTGAATTTCAAAAATTCACTCACACTCAGCCAACGCCTCGGTCGAAGGTGATTTCCTTAGTATTTGGAAATTTCTCTATGTCCCAAAACACTTGAACAACCTATCCTGCTCGAAGGTCTCCATACTCGAAGTCTTTTACATTTCTATAAAGACCTTAATAAAATATTTAATCTAAAATATGATGCTTCGGATTTGTGAGGTAACAAATTGCCCCCCAAAAATGTCTTTTTTGACCATACTGTAGAAAAAGGACCATTTTTGACAGCATCCAATTTGATGCCATCTTTCGACCCCCACATAGGTGTCAATACAAATGACTACCCATGACTTTGGAAGAAAAACTGTTCAGCTATCTCTATGCATGTCCATGACGTCATGGGCCATTATGACCAATTTCTTGGAACTCACAAAATCTTCAGACCATCATCATTCTTTTAGGACCTGAGAAAATCGTGGGTCTAGGCAATAACTACCACCGCCCCCATCTTCCATCTTGGAACGCCGCGTGGCCCACTATCCCTAGCCCTTAATGATGAATAGTGGCTTTTGATTTTCTTCAAAATGCCTTATAAATAATTTCCCCAGAAATTATTTTAAACTTTTCACTCTTTTAGCAAATACTTACACACTTTTCCCAAACAACTTCCAACTCTCTTCAGAAACCCATTTCTTCCCAACCTTCACCAATGGTGTCTTCCATGGCTACCACCAAAGATCAAAAGAGAAAACCTCAAGCCAAAGGGCTCTCAGCTGCATCACTCCTCCCTCCTTTTACCACATTGAGTGGACCCAAGATGGTGAAGAACCAGCAGTTCATCCCTGAACCTCTGATAAAATAAAAAAGACACATTTATGAATCTCAGGTAATAATCCCTATCACTGTTGCAGGTAAGCCCTTGGCTCTGTCTGACCCACTGTCTCCATTAGGAACCAACTACTCAACCCTTAGTGATTTTCCCCCTCTTATCGCAAAACAAAACCTCTAGGGCAAAGAGATTCTAGAAAAGTCCATACTGAAGGTCCAGATAGTTTGACATTACATAATGTGGATCTTAAGTACCTTAATGAAGGATGCAGGTTATTCAGAGCCACCCCTTATTTCAAGGATTCTGATCTCTACCTGAACTGGCTGACCAAAGTGGAAAAGGTTAAAGCAAACGACTGGAAGGAAACTGGTATCTATGATTTAATCATGATGTCGAAGGCCGGTCCAACCTATTGTCCTCTCATGCTGGCTTCCTCACTGTATTTCTAGGATATCACCCACTACACTTTCCACCTTCCCTGTGGGATGATGACGCCCACCCTCTTCGACCTAGCCGCTATCACAAGGCTAAAACCTTATGGGCTAGTATATGATCCTGAAGTGGATTGTCAGAATTCTATAGGATTTTCCACCATCGAACATACCTACACCCATTTCATTAACCATTACCATAACATCAAACAACAATAGTCAATGATCAAGAACATATAGCCTTTCTAGCCATGTGGCTGTCTCGTTGTGTTTTTTGTACAAAATC